AGGTAGTGAACTACCAATTAGGAACAATGCAAGTGGGCAGAGTGAGTGCTGACCAGCGTTTTAGCCAGCCACCAGTCCACCCACCAAACAGACTGGCAACTTTGATTTTGGACTGGAAAATCTTTCCCATTTTTCTGTTTCTTCCTATTGTTCTTTGATAATTTCGCCAAAATATATCCAAATCCATCCACATTCTCATTAAGTTAAATTGTTTTGGAGTGGCAGTTGCAAATTCCTAGCTAATAGCCTGGTGCTGACTGAGTATACATCAGACCATAGGAGTCTACCCCACCATCTTTCAGTGATGTTGAGCGGACAAGGTAATTAATCATTTACCTAAGAATGATACTACTGTAATACTATTTATGTTGGTTACATTAGAACACTCACTAAACTAGTAATACTGTTAACCAAATAAACGAACGAGAACAATTTCAAAAACACTAGCAATTATACTTTGTGACAATTATATATGAAAATGTGCATTTATAATTTTCGTTTATTTTTGAATTTTGTATAATGCGACTATTAACAATTTGCCAAATCATAGACCACATCACTGCACTTCATGAATTACCGGTAGTTATCAGTCTCCACTAACTCACCATATTCCCCAAGGCCATGCCTGTCATATTATGAGGTGACATGTACTAGTAGAACAGACACAGCAGCATTTTAATCAAAGAAATTCTACTACAAATTATTTTACACGTTATAAAAATTCCCTTGTCAATATTTTTTCTCTTTTTAAGGAAATGATGGTTTTTTTTCTGTTTTTTTTTAACAATATTCAAATTAATTGCAATTCAGACCAGGATGTGAATAAATATACAATTATTATTTTTATTGCTAAATCCTGGTGTCAACTAGGCCAAATCAAACACATTTGTTAATGAATATTAATAATAACTTTATTGTCAACCTGTCTCCATTGAGATCTGGACTGACATACAATAAAGATTAAATGATATTAAATGAATGAATCTTGCCAAATGGAATTGATTTGCAATTGTTAGGGGGGGTCAGCCTTTTTTAACCCTAGGTACATTTGAATGTGGGTCCTATAGATCAGGTGTCTGGTTGCGTAACAACTACTACATTGTATTACAGGCGTTAAACTCAATTCACGGAATAACAGTACTGAAATTAGGTTAGAAGTGGCAACAATCGTATTATAATCAGAATAGACTCTTTGGAGATTTAGAGAAAAAAAAGAGAAATTGCAGGGTAGGTAAATGAGTTATTTTAAAGTAATATGCTAGATTAAAAGGCCATATGTAGTGTGTTCGTAACAGTGTGTCCTTCAACAGGGATGATTTTATAGAGCTCCTGAAATAATGTTGAGTCAGCTTGTAGAGAGGTATTCAAAGAAAAACAAATTTTGGGTCACTTTGGGCAGAAACAAAAAAATATGTGGCTCCTAATTTCCTTTGTTTTTACAATATATCTTATAAAATATGAATTTATCCAAAACACAAATTTGATAATACAAGTATAAAAATGTTTTTTTTTTTTTTTTTAATATTATATATGCTGTATCAATGCATGATATCCCGTTTTGTTGATGACACCCCAGTGAATTGGGACAACTAGTTGTGTCACAGCAAATCTGTGTGCATCAGTGGCACATAATACCGACTTAGAGGGCACACTGGTCCCTAATTTTTACTTTGCAAGATTAACAGTAGACAAAATTGTTTCAGGGAAATTACAAGCCAAGAAAAATCAGTAGATTGGCGATGCGACTTACTTTGCCTTAGTTGTTTAGTGGATGGTGACTGAACAGGACCTGAAGAAAAAGAAAAAAAAAATATTTTTATTGAAGAGCATTATCAAAGGTGAACAATTATTTGATATACGTATTACAGCATCAATTAACTACTGGTAATTCACCTTGATTGTCACCCTAATTCACAATAACTATAATCAAACAGAATATGTAGCAGAGCGTGGAAAGGTTAATTTGAATGTGACGTATTCAAATTGCGCATGAAAATATACTGCACATTGCCTGTTATTGACAGTTGAAACAATCCTCAGTTATTTATAACTCCATCAGAGACTTTATGAGTTTTCATATCATTTGAAATCCAGCAGGTCATGTTAATGAGCAAGAAAAAAGGAAAGAATAATCATCTAAAATCTGGATGGAAAAATGCAATTGTGATGCAGCCCAGGTATCTGTCAATTGGATACATTCTGGCTAGGCTTTACATGTACACAAGCTGACACCGCTTTTTTATGTTGCCTCCATCAAGTGTTGTCAATAAAGGATAATACGAAAATGTGTACCCACATAAATTGGCCATAATAAGCCAACAGGGATTTTTTAAACAAGGGAACAGTGCCCTCACGCTGGGAAGCAGATCCTCTGGCAACCATAAAATTCTGATTGACCAAGGATCACATGTGGCCAGTCTTCAACTGTGACCTGTCTGATAGTAATTTTGGCTCCAAGGAAGCCATAGAATGCTACATCAAAAACTCTGCACCCTGGTAGGAAAAAAACACATTTCCCCCACTTGGTGGCACCGCTGAATTGCAGTGCTCCCTCTTGCATTTTGTTTTTCTAGAAAAACTCCTGCGCCAATACTTGAATGACCAATATAACTGACTTGGTGTAATTAAACTAAGGTATTTATGGGAATATATTTACATGTATAAGCATACCACAGTTTAAGTCTTGAAATAAGTCTCAGTTTTTTGAGTGTCAATTAATCATAATAACAAACAAACAGGTACCTACTACTAAGACCTGAAAAGCAATCACTCCCAGTCATGTACAGTAGTTTCTAGTAGTATTTTTTTTTCAAATCACAGAGCAGCTTTCCAGCAAGTTTTACATCCAGAAATGATTATATAATAATATTTTGCATGATATTTTATTTGTTATATTCAAAAATGGAATCAATACCAAACAATTAACATTACATGTATTAAAAAAAATTGAACAAAACTTAAAAAGAAAACTTATGTGTGCTTGAAAATATTGGAGACTAATTCAAAATTAATTCAAAATTTAAAATTAGCCTTTCGAACAAGAAGCTTGGCAACTAATTTTGTCTGCCATTAGAGATGTATAATGTAAAAAACAATGTAGTCCACATCGATGAAGTTTATACTACTTACAACTGTTTTTTTCAGTCTTCTGCACCTCTATTTAATATCCACAGATGTTAATGTAAAACTGAAATGTCTACATCTAGGAAATTTTATTGAAATGTGATAAGAAGCTAAAATATTATAGTAAAAGTCGAAAATTGGCTGATTATGCAAATCAGCTAACTAATATGCAAAGATTTTAAACCAAAAATAATCATGTCTGCGCATAGTTTTAGTCCTGTGCCAAGTTTCACTGAAATGTATAATTAGTACTTGAAATATCAGTGGAAAAGCCAAAAACTGAATAATCATTATGCAAATTAGGTGATTAACATTTACATTTTGTATCTCATTTTACCCATTGTCCCAGAGCATTTATGTACTACTGTACTTCCCTGAGTATAAGCCCCTCCCCAAGTATAAGCCCACCCCTCTGTTTAACGAGTTGACATCTTGAATTTCAAGGTGAATGTTCTGGCGAAGCACTCCACTATCACCTTGAAGTATTTTATTAGGACTATGTGTATGTGACAATACCCTCACAGTTTAGAATTAGTTTACCAACAGCCAATCATATTGCTTCTTTCTTCAACATGCTTGGCCAAGCTATCAAAATATTCGAGGCGGAGCTACAAGAGTCAATCTCCCAATTCCATTATTTACAACCTCTAAATCTGAAGAGGGGGCACACTAAACCAATATTTCCAACAGAAAAATAAATCTGCAATCTTATTTACATCAATGAGAGAATTGAGTTATAGAGGAAGCCGGAATGTTAATAAATGATTCCACAAATTTGACAGAAACGAACAAATTTATAATGATAATGGTGAATAAGTTATAAAAACCAACTTGATCATGAGACAATAACACCTCTTGTAGGCTTAGCATAACCACAATTTTTTTAAACATTGCATAAAAATAACACTGCATCACCCCATAGTATAAACGCATCACCCCATAGTATAAACGCATCATCCCAAAAATAGTATACCGTAATTATTGATGCATTATAATGTATATTCCTGTAATGTTAATGGACAGTAAATGTAGTAAATTGTAAATGTTATTTTGTAATTTGTTTCCACTTTTTATCTTTTACTGTTTTTTTAGTGTCTTGTAGTTTCTTAGTGACCTTATTGTTGCAGTTTATGTAACTCTCTTGGTCGTGGTAACGTAATATCAAAATAGCTTAAGCGGCCATAGCCCTGCGTACAGTGCTGTGTGTACAGGGACGCGGTCGGTTGATAGATGTCCCCACCACAGCCCTGCGTACCTCCATAGACAAAGTCCGGGAGCGCACCGTAATTGTGCGCAAGTTAAAAATAAGTAGTTTCCCAGCCGAAATCGGCTGAAATGACGATAGTTATCCGTAACAACCATTACACAGTTATCTGAAACTGAAATGTCTTTAAATAACAACTCGTAAAGACGGACAAATTGTAAACGCGTAAGTACCGGAGGAATTATCCACCAAAC